TTAGTCCAATAATTAATGCACCTGCATTGTGATTATACTGTACAGGTTGAATTGATTTACTGTGTTATTTTGCCAAACTAACCTCATTTATTTGGGCAACTCACATCACAACACAGAAACAAGTGCTGAGTTTTTTACATTCTGTAGATAAATAACTTATTAGTAGAAGAACAACACTACAAACTAGGACTGATTTAAACACAAAACGATAAAAAATATAGAACATATCTATTTTACAATGATGATTTTGCAAATGTCGTCAATGTTTGCAGTACAACATCCTTTAAAGTGTAAGGTTTCAGTGGTAAACAATTCAATGACATCATTCCTATTCCAAAACCACCAAGCAAAACCTGCACAACCTGCCGATTCCCCTTAGACAGAGCATTAAGCATTGCTAATTGTTTACAGATCGAGTCATTAAGCCTAAATATTTGATGCAAATTCTAGCTTTTGCTCATTTATTTGGCCTAATACAGATATTCTGTTACATATCACGGTTTGGAGTTCTTGTGGAGCCGTTTAATGATTACTTCATCAAGTGTGACACATTGTTAATGTTCTACAGAAACGTAAACCACCTCTGCGCCTCGCGTTTCAGACAATAATCGATTGTTAGCAGCATGCCGATTTCTCACATCGATGTTGTTTGATGGATTTCAGAAAGCTGACCCAAATGAAGCTTTGTGTGCGGATCTGAATTAATAAACGTTCTCAACTTTACAATTATTGCATGCATTTTTACTTTGCCAGGGGTTTTGAATAAATTTAGATAAAAGCATCCACTAAATTAATGACTTAATGGAAATGGAGAGGCATTTGACCATCAGCATTTAACATAAAGGTGTTTGCATTGGACAAGCGTGATGCAAACGCATCTGCTTTTAACCTCAACATTTACCTAAAAAATCTACATGTGAGGTCTTCTATGTAAAATTGGCATGAATAGTAGCAAATAAATGCATTTACAATACATTCAGCAGTTTGATTATCAATAATTACTATTTAATAACATTATATTTTAAGTATACATAATGTAAAAGATACAATACATAATGCCTTAAGCAATATAATAAATAAGGTTAAAATTATTTTTAATAAACATATAAGATTAAATGATGTTTACAGTAAACAGTTGATTAACAACTCTGGTTTTGCAAAACCCAAAAATAACCAATTACCCCTCATCAAACCCCTCACTAAACAAAAATCATTATCCGACATCGAACACCCAGCATGTGGAGACTATCAGAGGCTTAATTCTGTTTTAAAAAATGAGAAAGGCGCAATACCTGCTGCGAGAGCAAATAAAAATTAGATCATGGAATTAGATGATCTATTTGGGTCATACTTGCATTACACTTATTGAGATTTAGAAAAGCATCTTAGCATATATCCTCTTCCACATCTGTGTCTCTCAGCACTTTCTCAGGTAGCTCACCTTTCGTCTACATACCTTTGCTGAATTTCTAAAACCAAGTAGTATAATACAAAGCATTTTCTGGTCTATTTGTAAAGTGTTTTAGGACGTTTTAGAGAGTCTAGATAGGGATTTTTTGGACATTGAAAGTATGACAAATATATTATTGCTGTAATAATGTTTACTTACTTATGTATTACTTCTAAACTATTTTGAGGGATATAAACAAAAACAATGGACCCAACGTTTACATTTTTATATCTTCTGAAAATTCAAAATGAGCCACATATTGATAAATAATGTTATGATAGCTGTTTGTTTTAACATTAAGTTATAATTGAATTGCCTCTTGTTCCAGCTATGAAATAGTTTGATAACAAGCATAGGCCAATGACATGACCACATTGAAATGATCTATATAGATAATATTAAATGTATTTCCTTTCTTTTAAAATGTATTGAGTTGTTTATACCACATATTAAGTTATTCATATATTACTAACACTTAACACAATTAATTAATATATTACGAACACTTAACACACTTAATTGAACATGTGTTAGTATTACATGTAAATATAAACATTTCTGGAAGGACATTACATACTGTATAACTGTAGGTAGAGCTACACGATATTGAAAAAATCTGACATTGCAATATTTTTCTCTGCGATTTTTGTTGATATATAAATACAGTTTCACCAGATGAAATTTAATCTATTTGGAAAGTCATTAATTTAGATTGATCGGGATTATTTTGAAGGGAAGTTAAACATGTGTAAGTATATATATTATTTTATATAAATATATATTATTTATTATATACATATAATAAACAAACTACAGTTAAATAAAAACAATGGAGCAAAAATCAAGTGACATAATTTGTGGTTTAACAGTAATCCGGTAAATTAATTGAATAATTAAATGTAAAATAAGGGTCTTTATTATTTAAATAATCTAATAACAATATTCTTTATTAGTTACAAACCGTATAATTAATTGTGCCTGAATGCTTTAAACAATCTTTAAATGCTCACACAGTTACAGGAATTAATAAAAACACGTACAAATAACAAACTTTCAATATGGTTCAATTCTGCAGTGACTCCACAAATATTATGTTATAACCTGTGATTTCTGGTCAACTATAAACCCAACTCAACATTGCATATCTTGTGATGTGACTATTATGGATAGACTCATTGCGGTATTGATGCTAAAACGATATAGTGCAGACCTAACAGCAGGTTAACTATATTTATATACTGCCCACCCTATATACACAACTCCTTAACTTTCTGAATGAGACTCTAATGTAATGATCAGGGTGCGAATTACAGAGGGGTTTGGGGGGGTCTGACACCCTTAATTAACGCTTGATCCCCCTGAAGAACATCAAAACAAGATGTGTGGGGGGGTATATTAAGCAGAACAGAAACAAATTTGATAATCCTGACTTACCTAAAAGATAAAAAGTTTAGTCACATTAACATTTTTTAAAGGTTATGTGCCTTTTTATACAGTGTATGTAAACTTCTGGTTTCAACTGTATATATTGCAATCGTGATTGTAATCGAAAGTATTACAACACTTTGTAAACGTTTATTATTACCATTTGATGAGTCTCCCCATACAGTTTGATAGAGCGCTTGGACCCGGAGGCTGCTTCGCGTGACGTCACACTTACATGCGGATACCATTGTGAATGCATGATCGTGCCAATCAATGCTAGGAAAAACATCACTCAACAGTCTAAAACTGGCAGTTAGAGCACCGATAGACATCTTAAGTATTCACAAAACATGTTTCTTGTAAAATAGGTGTTTATATCTCCATGTAGCCTAAAAAAATTAAATTTGACACATCATTTGTATAGTTTGACCTACAGTAACCACTAAAATAGTCACTAAATATCCCTCAAATACATTGTATTAATAAATTAGATGTAATTTAAATACATTCATAAATTTAGTTCACTGAAGTATGTATTACTAAATTACTAAAAAAAAGTTGACCCCCCATAAGTCAATGTGTAATTCGCACACTAGTAATGATGTCCACCTATTTTAAAGCTGCTTTGGAGTGATAACTATTGTGAAAAGCACTATGAATAAGGTATAAGTCTAAGCTATGTAAGTAAACTTGCATTAAATTATGCTGAGTTTATTATTATTGTTGTTGTTGTATTTTTATTTAGTTAAACCCTTTGCCTGTAGACCTGCTTGACAATGTTTAAAATAAAAGAAAATCTTCTAAATAAATTTATAATACAAAGCATGGCTATAGCATGTCAGTTTAACATGCATCACGATGATATAATATAAAATAAAACACGATAATAATGCTAGGATCCTTATATGCTCCATAAATAACATTAATATCAGTACTGTAGTAGGGTTAGCCTTTGCAAGGGTCTCATTCACTGAGAAAACGTCAGACGCGACGTAGCTAAACAATGACACACAGCAAGCTCGTGACGCGTCGACAGCTGCGTTTATAATGGAATCGTTCTAGTAGTTGTGTGTGTGTGTGTCTGTGTTGGTGATGATGGTTATAATAATGAACTAGTTGTTGTGATCTCACGTGCTCGGCGCGCGCGCACGGGGTGTGGCGCGCGGTTTGGGAGCGGTTTCATGACAAGACTAGCCTAGATGGGAGAACCATATGTCAAACTGTAGACTCTCCGGACAGAAATACAGCATATTCGCGGATTATTGATCAACTGGGTTAATATATTCGGTTAAATTCTCCTCACGCAGCTATGATGACGAGGGGAAAAGATCCAGCAGTCTGAAGTAACGTTAACGTTAGAAAGATAGTGCCAACTCATCGTCATCATCATTTATATATTACACAACTCTAATAAAGTGGCTATTTATAGACGATAAATTCGGATGATATTTATTCTAATACACTAAACAACACTCAAACACAAACTGAAATCAAAACTGAGTTTACAGATTTGATTAGCATTTAGCGTCCGAGTTATGATTATCAACATTTATATACCTTTACTAAATTAAAAATAAACTCTTATTCAGTCGTGACATCATTAATCGCGCGAAAACTCGCATGACGGTTTATAACTGACGTGATTTATTCGGTTAATTCACCTCACGAAGTGCCAGAGCGGTGACGCGGGAAAAGGCACCGTCTGTCATATAAAACAACCATAAAAATAATCTGTCAACTCACATTTTTCATGGATTATTATTATTAACTCATACTAAATATCAAACTACGCTATTTAAACGATGCTTTTACGGCCCAGCACGCGTGCTTTTTTCGTCTAGCGTCATATCGTAGTTGTTTTATCTACATATTCACACTTGTGACGCTCGATTGTGCACTTTTATTATTGTGATGTATTAATAACATCTCTCGAAAACAAGGAAACACGACGTTACGTTAACTAAACCCGTGTCGACATCACTGAGCGACGAATCCAGCGCTAGCTAAACACGCTCTCTCAGACTGCAATAAACAAACACTGTACTGACATTAAACATAGTATATGTATCGATGATAAACATTTAAACATCGCTTGAAATAGGTTTAAATTGTACATGTCGCTTACCTGGTTACCATGACCAGCCGCTGCCGTGTTCTTGACCACAAATCACGCAGACGGCAAAAGCAGAGCTCGATGGAAACTGCCTCGCTGATGAAAATGACTCGTTAAGTCAACAGAACTAAGGCTTGCTTTACAACCGAAGCGAACATTCTCGTCGGTCCAGGCGAAAACGCGGTTTGTCAGGCAAGTGGTTTGCGTTTTCACGCCAAACCCAAGTTAGTTAGTTTACCAAAAAGCTGGTCGTGCAACAAGCTGCTCTGACAGCTCGTGGGAGGAGGGACCAAGTCATGTGACTCCAAAGGGGGTGCTTTCTACTTTATAAACCTCAAATGTGTCTTAAAATTAATATGAATTCATATTTATTTTAATGTATGCAACACACGATTTCTAAAAGCTGTTTATGATGCTAAGTGAATCGAATTTAATCAGGGAAATCATCACGCTATTAGTTTACACCCTCCCCTATTTACAGTGTGAGATGGTGTGGTCCGAATGAATGTCAGGAGCCCAGGGAAGGGCAAGGGTCTGCTTGTTGCCTGGAAACACGAGTGAATCTCCCGAGGGCCCCGTGGATTTGGGCTCCAGCGCTGCGAAATCAACAAGCTGAAGGCCTGATTTTACATCTCTAATAGTGACGATCGCATTCAGAAGACTGGAAACGTGACTGTTTACATGTCAATCCACTGAGTGAGAGGGCTGTAATATTAGCAAAGTTATTACTTTTAGACTGAAAGCCGGAAGTGCTTAATTGAACAGTAATGGCTGCCATTTTGAAAATGAGTTTGGAAAATATAATAATAAAGCTGCTTGTTGAATATATATAGCTATTGGGTGTAGGGTTTAAGTACTTTGCCCATTAGGCATGATAGTCAAAGTGTTTGTTAAAGTGTTATAAGCTAATAACTACACTGTAAACATGTATACAATCAAAAATGCATGACAAAATGTGTTATTTTAACATATTACTTTTAGTATGAAGACTAGAAGTGCATAATTAAAAAGTAATGACTGCCATTTTTAAAAGATAAGGCCTTTAGGGGTGGGTTTATCTACAATAAAATGTCAAAATCATGAAATCTCTGTGAAACACTAAACAGAACTATGGAAAATGTATGCAAATGTAATCATAAACCTGCTTGTTGGTAATCAAAGTGTTTGTTAAAGTGTTATAAGCTATTAACTACACTGTAAACATGTATACGATCAAAAAGGCATGACATGTATTACTTTAACTTATTATTTTATGGTTGAAGATTGGAAGTGCATAATTGAAAGGTAATGGCTGCCATTTTCAAAATTAGGCCTTTAGGGGCAGTTTTATCTGCAATAAATGGTAAAAATCATGACGTCTTTGTGAAACATTAAACAATACAATAGAAAACATATGCAAAACGTAATCATCAATCTGGGGTGGGTTTACTTGAGATTATACTACAGCATTAAAATGGAAAAAAGTCTCTGTGAATTACTGAAGAGGAAAATTATATATGCAAACTAGATGCAAAACATAATCATAAATCTGCGTGTAAGATATCTAGCTGTAGGGTGTAGAGTTCAAGTAGGGATTTTAGTGTTATAAGCTATTAACTACACTGCAAAAATTGAAATGATCTCTAAAAGTCATGACAAAATTTGTTTTAATGTTACTTTTAATACTCAAACTTTATTTATTTTCAGGTAGGCCTATAATTAATAAACCATTAGCTAACTTTTCCCTCAATAAACTCCTAAATTGCTTATTAATGAACTGAAATTTTTAATCATTTTACATCTTAATGATGACGTTACCATGTACATCTTTCCAAAAATAAAATTTTAATTATAATAAAAAATAACATTATAAAAATGTTACAATATTTACTATTGTTTTTATATGAAATTAAAACAAAAATATATATAATTTAAAAATAAATTATTTAATAATTAAAGAATAATTATTATAAATTGTGGGAAAACACTACAGCTTGCGTTGCATTATTCACTATTCATTATTTTTATATAAAATTAAAATATGAAAAATAAGATTTAATTAAAATAAAAATTATATAATACTTTTTTGCATTATTTACTAGTTTTTGCAATTAAAACAAATATATATATATATATATATATATATATATATATATATATATATATATATATATGTATATATATAATTAAAAAACATATAATAATAAATAAATTAATTAATTAATTAATAAATACATTAATTAATTTAAATAACAATAATAATAATAATAATAATAATAATAATAAATTGTGAGAAAACACTACAGCCAAAAAGTCAAAATGTAAAGTGATAAACACACTTGAAAAATGTAGTGTAAATACTGATGACTAGTTATTCAGTAATGTTAAATAAGGTATTTTATTCATATACAACCTGAGTTTAATTTACATGTTAGCACTTTGGCAAAACCGGCTAAACATTATAATAGCAAATAATCAAACAAGAACCGCATAAAGCAATAAATGCTAATCTCTTACGGGCACATAATGAAGAAAACTAATAACCTTAAAGTGAAAACAGCCACTGCAGATAAGCTGCTTTGTGTTTTGCTTGGCGTTCCCTGTTGGAAAGAAATAGATGTAAGCTATAAAGATGTATTTGTTTCCCAGCTCATCTATTTCCACTTGAGAAATTGCATTTTTCTTGGGTTTCATCTACAAAATACCTCACTTTCCAAAGGTTTTGCATGGGATAAGAGACTGTTTGCACACTTTCCCATGCAGGGAACTGAAAAATCTTTTACTTTAGAAGCACAAACAGCTAATGATGAAAACAGCACCTATCTGAGGTAAGAATCGTGATGCATTAGCACTTGTGTAAACCCAGGAGAAACTCATTAGGTTGGCAGATCTTCAATTAACTGGTGACTTAAATGGCAGCTTTAGTGAAATAAATCATCAGAAATATATATTGATAGATATTAGGTTATTTTTTGACTACATGCACTAAACTGTGGGATACAGTGGGTAGCAATGTCACCTCACATCAAGAAGGTCGCTGGTTTGAGTCCCGGCTAGGCCAGTTAGCATTTCTGCATGTTTGCATGTTTTCCCCGTGTGTGTGTTTCCTCCAAGTCCACCGGTTACCCCGCCAGTCCAAACACATGCGCTATAGGGGAACTGGATTAACTAAATTGGCCTTAGCATATGAGTGTGTGTTTGATTGTGAGATTGTATAAGTGTTTCCCAGTGCTGGGAAGGGCATCCGCTGCGTAAAACATATTTTGGAATAGTTGCCGGTTCATTCCACTGTGTCGAGCCCTGATAAAAGGGACTAAGCTGAAGGAAAATGAATGAATGCACTACAAAGACTAGAAGGTATTGATTTAAAGACCATTCATCATCACTGATTGAGGCTTAAATAGAGGAGATTTGTTTATGCGTAAGCAGAGATGCTGCACAGAAAATAGTAAGAGGTTTCTACAATGATCCGGAAGTCACTGATACTGTTATTTTCTCCAGTGCACACACAGGGCATGCGCTAATTCAATTATTAGTCAGAAGCCAGTGGCCTCATCACCGGCTGCCGGATTATGAGGTGGAAAATTACTGGACATTATCTAAATATTTAGATTTTATTAAAGCTAAAAGATGTTTGTAAATATTTGGTTTAAACAGTAAAAATCAGTCCAAGGCACTCGAACAATGTAGAAAAATATTAAAAAGTATATTTTTTATATTTTAATATTTATATATAAATATTTTTTCCACATCTTTTGATTGAGCTACCTCTGAAAACTTTTTGCATTGTTTGATTTTAGTCGCATAAAAACATGTATAACACACCAGAAAATAACTTTTTTAACAATAATAATTTTAAGTTTCTATTTTTTGTTTTTAAATTACTGTTTATTTAATATTTATTTACTTTCTGACCATTTTAACATAATAAAATTATATTTATTTTTGATTCTATTAATATAAAAACAATTCTTGGTAAAATTACTGGACATTATCTAAATATTTAGATTTTATTCATGTCAAAAGATTATAAATATCTGTGTGCTTGTTTCCTTTTAACTTGCTTTGGATATTTTCTTTAATTAGCTGTTTCTTTTAAAATTTGCTCATGCTTTTATTCTAATACAATGTAGAAATATGGTAATATTACATTAATTTTATATTTCACTTAAAGTGTAAGTTAATTAAGGTAGTCCAGGTTAAATAGCTAAATCTTGTTTTCTGAGTTTACATAAATTTTCCACCACACTGTAATACATACATACATACATACATACATACATACATACATACATACATACATATACATACATTACAGAAAACACTACTTTAAATAATTGTAATTTTTTTTTAATTAATAACTTATGAAGTTTGTAAAGTATTAACTAATGCAGTAAAACTTTTTAAATAATAACTTATTGCAATAAAATCTTCATAAAATAACAACCTTTATAACACAGTGGAGTTCAATGCTGAATACACTCAAGCAGCAGAATCTGCTTTTGACTTGAGTTGCTCACCAAAGTCTTTGTATTGTCAGGTGATTATTTGACACCATTTAATTAAAACATTTAATTTCAGTAAGCTTTTAACAATAAAACAAACAAACAAAGGGTTAGATTAAATTTCAATTGAGAATCCCGAAACATCCACATCATTCTTCCTTACTTCTCAGATGGGATAGAGGGCCAAATCAAAGGTTACTATGGGCCAGCTTTGCCCGCAGGCCCTAGTTTGGGCATCACTGCTTCAGATAAATTCAGCAGCTCTCCATAAAATGTGTTACAATTAAATTAACCAATAATAAATGTCAATGAAATATTAGTTTTTTTTAATTATAAACAGAAATTCAGCACTTCCTGATAAAGTTGGTGAAGTAATAAGCAGTAATAATAAGAACACGCAGAATAACAATAAACATTTAGCAAACAGATTTTTTTTTTAATTGATCTAATTAAAATGATTTTTTTATTATGTTAAAATGGGCAAAAAGTAAATAAATATTAAATAAACTATTATTTAAACACATAATTTCATTTTAACTTAAATAAAAGTGATTAATTATTTAAAAAAACATCAATACTGTGCAGTAAACTGTTGTGTTTTTTAGATAAGTATTATATAATTTTAATGTGAATAAATCTACATTTCCACTTTTTCCATCGATTTATGTGAAGCAAATCAAAAAACAGGATTTGTCTATTTAACTTACACAAACTTAATTAACTTAAACTTATTAAAAATAATAAGCAGTATGTTCTCCACTCTTGGAGGATCTTCAATTACCGTCAATGTTGATGCATCCACTATTTCACATC